TTCAAAGGTCAGGATTCTCATGCGTTATACGCCACCACAGCTGTCAGCACTCACACGTATAACTGTTGAAGCCGGTGAGCCCGACATCGGCAATGACCGCGAGGCTGAAAGCTTTAGCAGTGGATTTTGACTTGTGCGCCTGTACTTTTCTCCCTTTTCTCTATTTCTGCCGCTCTGCTCTCACCGATCTGTCGGGCATTGCCTGTCCCCAAGCAACCTCCGCCAATTCCTACACCTTTAAGCCGCGCCCTTCGTCACCCCCTCTTGTGCTACTCTCCGAGTACCTACTACTCATACCACCGCCGGCTACCCCCTGTTAAAAGTCCTTGCGCGCGCCAATGGGGGTCAACAGAATTAATTAATCCATACAAGCGGGCTGTTGAAGGAGAAGCAAATACCGGTAAGAGATGAAAGATCCAATGGCTTGGCGACGATCTAGGACCGGTAGCAGCGATAAACAAAGCAGTAAAAATGCGGCGATACGAATAGACGGCCATGGCATGAAAAGGAAGGGAGCGTGGTTAGTCTCTGCCAATCTACCACAGCCTCCCGATCGCCATTATCGTTGAATGGTGAGGTACATCACTGACAGCGGATAAAGGGCCGCGACTGCTCCACCCGCGCAGCGAGCATATACAGTGGGTTAGCAGGATGGCTGGACGGCGAGACGACACACGACCTCACGTTGGGATGAAATGGTGCCCCGGTAGCGTAACTGGTGGCGCACTTGCCCGGAAAGCGGTGGGTGCGGGTTCGAGTCCCGTCTGGGGCGAAAGTTTTGTTCACAACCCAGCATGCTTAGGAGACAAAGAATCACAGGCGGAACTACGAGCCAAGAGAGCAATCAGAGCTTCTGGTTTCAGCATTGTTCTCCTCGGCACAAGCCCATAAATAAAAAATCTTCTCTTCCACTGATCTTCACCCACATTTCCCTCTTTAGGACGCCCTAGAGAAAATGTAAATTCAGCAGTAAGAGGCATTCAGCTAGGGCACGTTTCGTCCATAGTGGAACTTTTCAATAATTTCTGGCTGTTCTGATACCCAAATAGAAAGATTTCCTCGGCGCTGTCGATTTTAGTACATGCTCAGGACAGGGACCACTTAGCCGTATCTGGCATCTGTCTGTCTTGGCCCTTCTCTCCAAATCATCCCTCAGTAATACCGAATTCAGTGACGGACACAGGAAGACAAGAACGCTTCCTAGTTACAACAGGCGCGCAGAATTTCCCCTGTTACAGCTCAGAACAAATTAGTTGAGACTCAGAGCACTCCTCGGAGTTTTACGCATTTTTCGAATTGCGGTACATTGTTCATTTTTTAGGAGCGTTCGGCGATCTTGTCGCCGAAAGCCTTGAAGGAAACGGATGGATTGTCGAGAAACAGCCTATCGACAACGGCACTTCACGATTCAACATTCTGGCTACCCGTAAACCTTTGAAAGAAACAAGTTCGATCGGAATTCCCACTCTTGCCATATTTCCACTCGTGTTGGATGTTATGACCAGGACTGTTTCAGCACCTCGAATTCTGTTCAACACCCATCTCGATACCGTTCCTCCCTACATTCCACCCACGGAAGACGACTCGCACATCTACGGTCGCGGGTCGAATGACGCAAAAGGTTTGAGAGCGCGCTACCTCGTTCTCCGTCCCATCCCTTGTTATGACCCTGGTCTTTTTGAGGGCAACTGGCGTGTATGGTCTCAGCTGCCCAGGCTCTGGTGAGGTCTCATCCGGACGTTGCAGATCAACTGGCGCTTCTCTTCGTCGTTGGGGAAGAAGTCGATCATGTAGGAATGATGGTAAGATCGGACTTTTAGAGAATCTACAACCCGTCCCCGCAATTCATTTTTATTAGTCCCGGTTGAGCGCTTCCATTAGGTTGGTGCAAAAGTCTTGAGACGCTCGGATACGTGTTTAAAAATCTTTTACAATTTTATTCAAACACAAACTCAATTAACAATATAATCACCATCATTATCTACGATACTGATCCAACGAGCAGGCAAGTCGGCTCTTCCCTTCTCCCAGAAAGAAGAGGACTGTGAGTCAAAGAAGTCAGTCACAGTATTTTTGAGGTCACCAAAAGTGGCGAACTTCTTTATAACCAGGAATTGCGCGAGGTGTATAAAAAGATGACAGTCAGAAAGGGCGTGGTCGGAGGAATAGGGAGGGTGGAGGACGGTACTCCAGCCGAACTCCTATAGCCTGGACTGCGTTGATTCTTGTGCGAACGTGAGATCATGGGACAGAAACCCTTTTCGCGTCGCTTTTTTTTCGATTGGCATGAGCGAGTTCCTGGATCTGGCACTGTAAAATGGTAGCCGCTGACTTCTTGGCCTCGAGCGCCGCAACAACTCATGGTATAGCATTCCCTCGATTCCCAGATTTAAGCTGCACAGCAAAACTCTTCGCCGTGAGTGTGTTCGGCTTGGGGCTGCACGATGTGGACCTTCTGCCTCTGGGGAACCAGGAAGCTGACCCTATTGTTTGTGCGTAGAAGATCAGTTTCATTACCCGGGTGACCTGATCCTGCAAAAACTCCTGCCGATTGGGGAAGCGAGGAGCGACTGGGGCGATTGCAACATGGTGTGGTGGACGCAGGTCGTCGGTCAGTTGGTGCGCGAATCCATCTAGCGAAAACTTTCCGCAATCGTGCTTCGTGAAGGTATCGCCGAACGGCGTTGCTATTGGATCGATCTCGAGAAGGTCCGCGAGGCCCTGCTTGTTGGCCGGCCAGGCTTCCTTCTCCTAGGCTGAGAAGCCGTCGTTCTCCGATAACAGCTGGTTGCCCGGAACGAGATTCGTCGTCGAGACGTATCTCCAGACGGAAAACGAGCAAGTAAATGACTAACATTCACGCGGCTGACCAAGGTTCTCTTCGAATGCCAGTGTTGCGATTGGCGAGGGGCAGGAGCGAGCACTGGAACCGCGGTGCCACTTCGTTAGAAGAGATTGCTCGAATGTTGACTTCTTAACCGGGAAATGGTTTACCAGTGTAACGTGATGCTCGGAGACCTATATTAACTTGCTGCCTTAATCTGTGTACTGTGTTCGAGCAGGAATTCTTTTATGGGTGAAATCTCGATAGACGCTTGCGGTGAAGGTCAAAAGACACATTCATATGATAGAGACGGTTGATTTGACGGGATTCTCACATGGTCAAATCGTTCGCAAGACTTTCTGCTCGACAACAACCACACGTACTGGGGATTACCTCATCGTGTGTATAAGAGCTCAGATTCGATCAACAGAAGATACTCGATCGGATGCACCATCACTATGTCGTATACCTCAGAATGCCGATTCCTTGTCGCATGCTCGCGCCATCCGCTGCCCTGGGAGTATCGTGATATTGTGGGTGTGAAGCCAGATGTGTTCGTAGGTGATCCGAGCACAAGCGCTAGTGAATTGGCGAAAGAACGATAAGTAACTGATTCGGAGGGTGTGGTGCGTGAAAAACGTATTGGCGTAAGGAAATGGGTCGATCATGGTGTTGGGATTCGGGTAGTGTGCCTGCTCAGCGTAGAGCACGCAACTGACGGCTGTATTTCGCGATCGGCTGTTAGCCTGTGTTCCCGTGCAGCCGATCATGAGCGCACTCGGGTGACAGACGTGATGCGAGTCTGTTTATGCCTACTCTTGACACAGGAATCAATTTCCGGTCGAGCCGTGTTCAGACTCTCTTGCACACGGTTTACAATTCCCATGATTTGTGAGTCGCGCACAGGCTTCATAGGAGTCTTTCGTTGTTAATATATAAATGGATTATTATGGAACGACAAGAACACCTGGAGCTGTCTTTTTCAACCTTAAAGTGCGATATTAGTCGATTTTTGCTGCCTGATCTGACTGGGAGGATGAAACGAGAATGTCAAGCTCTGTGCCTATGAGGACACCAACAGTTAATTGCGTACCGAATGTCAGAAATTTCCAGAAGCAACGACTTCGGAAGGTGCTGTGTTGTCGTTAAACCCTTTCTTATGGTGGTCGATTTAGTTGGGCAGGTTGTGCAGAAGGAAACGCGGATGAGTTGAAATCGGGCCGGAGCGAATACAGAGAGGGTTGTGGCGTGCCCTGAAAGTGTAAAGCTTGCTATATGTTGTTATTTCATATCGTAATTATAGGCCTCTCGACCTTCAAGTGAGCTGTTTGTCCACCTCTGTTAGAAGAGATTTCGGCTGCTGCATTTGTGTAGATAGTTATCTACATTTTTTTATTATACAACCTCGTTTATGTGTTCAACTTGACACTAAGACCATACGATGGCTTGGTACCGAGACTCGAATATGTGTATAGGTCTAGCTCCTTCGCGGATGCAAGGGGGGTGACCGTAGTTAGACGGTGACGGCATTTTGAAACACGAGGGTGAGAGCTCGATCTTGCGCGCAGAGCGTGGAACGTGCGCGCGAAATCCAGTCTCAAAGAAATATATGAACTTAGTCGGACCAACGAGGAAGGATTGGTTGGTTGTCATGGATGGCACCGATCTGGAATGCTTTGCGAACCCAGAATATTAATCTGAGCTTAGGATTCGTAATACGTGAGATGTATCCTGATATTCTCAAGGGTTTTGGGCGCTGAGCCAAATTCCCGAGCATTTCGAGCTGTGCTCTTCCTAGCAAACTGTACTACAGATTCATTCAGTACCATAAGTTTCAGAGAGCAACCACTCGGTTCATCTGTGTAGTCGGCCTGGCGTCGTAGTGAAGGGCCCGAGCAAGCTCGTACTGAACGCATGGGACTGTGAGAAGGCGCTTCGGCCGAGATTTCCCTCTGCGGTCTAACTTCTGCTGCATGATTGCGGAACACAGTAGTGAGGTCGGTCGGGTGGCAGTGGTGAACTCAATCTCCTCCCTCTATAGCTTCTGCTCTGTTTATCTAATTCTCGCGTTGAATATGAGTGATTGTTCTGAAGCCTGGTTTGATCTTCTTGTGGACTGCTGCGTATCTGATATGGTCAAAGCGGGCAGTGGCAGTAACGGACTTCGTCGCTGGGCTGTTTGTGACGAGGGATGTTTCTAGCGACTCGGTCCATAAGTTGCGCAGCCACAGCTGGTATATAAGGATTTGCGAGTTTCTAGTAATTTCGTCGCCTTGTTGATCATTTCCAGAAGCCGGGTGTTCGATTTTCTTGTGGAGTTTCTTTTACCCGAAATTCTTGTTGCACATAGGATGAGGTGTCGAGAAGGACAACGCTGCATGCACGCGAAAAGGGTGGCACAGTATTTATCTTATTAGAGCGCGAGCATTTTCTCAGAGATAGGATATGGAAATTGGTGGCTGATGGCGTATTCAATTATGACGCCGACGGGAGGTCAGTGAGACTCATCGACGACAGCCGACGAAGGTGCAAGTCTGCTTCCAGCGACACAGTGGCGTGGGCAGATGCAGCTTCCCGGACGGGGAAGAGTCTCGTCCACCAAACAACTTGCTGCTGTTGGGAGGAGCCCTTATGGGTATGGACTTGCCTCTGGCTGACCTCTCGGCTCGTTTCTATATTTCTGGATTGTCATCATTCGCAAGATGATCTTTCATTTTCGGAACTGCGGGTGCACGTATGGATGACTCATTCGCCCATTCGTTGGTATTCTCGCTAGTATGGTTCATTAGAGAGAGCAGGCATTGCTTTCGCGCATACGAAGATGATGTCTTTCACAACGACCCTGTCGTGGCCACTGACGTATCCTCAGCTATGTGCGGCGCAGCTAGCGCTCGCACCGTATATCATAGCTCGCGCGAAATCGGATCTAGCAGCAACATGCCTTCGGGAAATACGCTCGGCATATTGGTCCATATCTCAAGCGCACGGAGGGAAACATGTTCGGCAAGTTGGTAAGAGTGTAGGTTCATCTCCTCTCGCTATGATATTCGTCTTAATTTTTTTTGGAGAAAATGACTCCTGTTATTTCAAGGGGGGATAGAGCATTAGTTGCTGGTTGGAATACCCGAAGACGGAGAAGAATCACTATTTTCGCATGAGCGGAAATATGCTCAGTTACGGGACTGCACACAGGCGAACGGAATTTTTCAAAGTGCAGAGAGAAGAAACGGGTACAATTACACAAAAACGGCTTATGCAACAGTAAGAATTAAGTAGTAAACAGATGGATTCAGTATAAGGCGGACGGGCCCCACTCGAACGGTGCGAATCATGACCCATCCGATGAGCTCTGTGCAGTAGGGATCCATTGCGAATAATGGCGTGGTGTTATCGGACGGGCAGGCAATTACAGAATTGGACCCCAGAACGAGTATGATTAAAGGGGGTTGACTCCCTACATCGGCGGTAGAAGGCCATCTCGAGAAACGCCAATACGGCGCTGGTTGACGGAATCCTCTCAGTTGCCCAACGGAACTGCATTCTGGCTATCAAGCATAATTTTAATTGTTTTCCTTTTGTATGAGGTGCGTGATCTTGTCCTGCATGAATGAAGCGCTAGGTAGTCGTAGGGAAGGATGTAAAAATCGCTCGTTAGAAGAAATCCGCTAACAAAATGACAAATCAAAAGTACCGAAAGAATTGTGAGTTAACAGAAGTTGAATGGCGCCAGCCGTAATGACCAAATGAAGACATCGACTGGCGTCAGCAGCCGTTACTGCAGAGTGCAACTTGGCGCCAGCAACTATTTCCGATCTCCCTTGGAATTTACAATGTAGATCAGTTTATTCATTGCGGATGACAATAGTGTCATAGTATTACCATCAACAAGTTGTCATGACGAAGCGCGTTGTTGTCAGTCAAGACCAAAGAACTGCGTACCAGTTCGCTCTGCTGTCATTCATGCAGGCCCTCACCTTTTGTTCTCGCTTTCCTTCA